ATATCCTTTATGTTAAAGATCTTTACATTTCCAATGTTGTATATATATTTATATTATTGTCTTGCAACATTTTATAGGATTTTTGTTTATTATTCAGAAAATAAGAATCAACAGCAATTATATCAAAACATTTAATTCAGCTTCTTTCGTGTGTTTCAATTTGGTTTTTAATCAACATAACACATTCAAACTCAAAACATTTTTATCACAAAAAACACAACGTTATGTTACATACATTTCTTATTGTTATTATAACTATGCATATAAAAAGGTAGGTAAAAAACACAATTTATCAGCACAAAAATAAGAATTAATGTACTCTGTATATAAATCAAAAACACATTTATTATGAAAATTTCGAGTAAGAACAACAAAACATTTGTTGAAGGTGAAATAAGATATGACAACATAAACATGTTATCTACACAAAGGTCAACCTGTCATGTATTGATAATCCCGGATGAAAAAAATAATCAAATGTCTATTAACAATAATTGTTATATCCAAAGCAGATTAAAAGGTCCATGTGTATGAAAAAATTAAGAAAACACAACGACTCTGTCTTTTTTTCCGACCGAATGAACGGGGTCTTGTTACACCAAATATTCATTTAAACAGATACTAGCTTGAAAAATATTACATAATTTTTGCATATTTTTTTAAAAAGAAAATCATTTGAATATCATGTGAGCCACCTTTCCATGTGTATTAAGTACCTCTTAAAATGATTGCTTTTGAATCACTATTTTCAACTATTTACTTCACAGGAAATGACATACTCAGCTTGAAAATGGTTGGAGGAAGAGCAAGAGCACTTAAGAGTACTTTGTTAAATATCAATATTTAAGACCTTGCCACATGAATAAGATTTTTTGCAATCTGAGAGAGGTAAAAAAAAATCTAAAGCAATTATGTCAATGCATTTATTTAATTATTTGAAATGATCAAATCGAAATTCCTATAATAAAATTTTGATTTTAATTAAACATGGATGATCAAAACATGTTTATTTCAAATAGCACAGCTTAATGTTACATACATGTTTTACTGTTAATTTAACTAAGAATACTATGAGGTAGGCAAAATTAAAACACAATTCATCAGAATAAAAATGTATATGTACGTATAATTTTTAGAAATCAAATATATAATATATTATAAAAAGTAGTTAATGACTATTCGCAATCCATGCAATCCATGTTATTATTTAGAATAATTCAAGCGGTTATAATTTAAGACGTTTCATTGCATCAAAGCCATAATTTTGCTTTCTTTTGTTTTTTCGACGGTATAATTCAGGAAAATGTTTCTCCAAATATTGTATTAAACACCCATTGCTACTTTTTGTAAAATCAAGAACTGACCCTGCTATCATTTGTTATACAATGTACATCCAAACCTACACTAACCAGATATTTAAATAATTCTAGGTTTCCACTAAGTACTGCAGCATGTAATACAGTATTACCAGAATAGTCTTTTGACTGAAGTAACTGTGGGTTATTATATACAATGAATTTACATAAATCGATATTGCCATTACGGCATGAAATATGCAGGACACTTTCCCCATCATTTTTCAGTGGATTAATATTCAAACTTTTCTCTTTCAGATAAGAAATCAATTTCCTGTCTCCATTTACACATGTCCAGTGTAATACTGTGCACCCCTTATAGTCTTTGACGTCAATTAATTGTGAATAATTAGTGAATAGGAACTCACATGCATCATACTTATCATAAAACATGCAATATGAAGGGCATTTGCCCCATCACTTGTCCGTACATTTATATCCAATCCTTTTTCTGTCAGAAAGGAAATTAACTCCCTGTCTCCAATTACACATGCCAAGAGTAATACTGTGCACCCGTCATTGTCTCTGACGTCAATTAATTGTGGATAATTAGTGACAAGGAACTCACAGGCATCATATTTACCATTAAGACATGCAACGGGTGTGACCGGTCGGCAGGGGATGCTCACTCCTCCATGGCACATGATCCCACCTCTGATGTTTCGGAGGTCCGTGTTTGCTCTGCTCTTATTTTGTATATTTGTTTAATGGACCTTGAGATTGAATACTGTTCGTTATTTCAATATCCTTCATGCAATATGAAGAGCATTTTCCCCATCATTTGTCTGTGCATTTATTTCCAAACCCTTTTCTATCAGAAAAGAAATCAATTTCCTCTCTCCATTTACACATGCCCAGTGTAATACTGTGTACCCTTTATTGTCTCTGACGTCAATTAATTGTGGATAATTAGTGACAAGGAACTCACAGGCATCATATTTACCATTAAGACATGCAACGGGTGTGACCGGTCGGCAGGGGATGCTCACTCCTCCATGGCACATGATCCCACCTCTGATGTTTCGGAGGTCCGTGTTTGCTCTGCTCTTATTTTGTATATTTGTTTAATGGACCTTGAGATTGAATACTGTTCGTTATTTCAATATCCTTCATGCAATATGAAGAGCATTTTCCCCATCATTTGTCTGTGCATTTATTTCCAAACCCTTTTCTATCAGAAAAGAAATCAATTTCCTCTCTCCATTTACACATGCCCAGTGTAATACTGTGTACCCTTTATTGTCCCTGACGTCAATTAATTGTGGATATTAAGTGACAAGGAACTCACATGCATCATATTTACCATTACGACATGCAATGTGAAGAGCATTTCTCTCATCATTTGTCAGTGCATTTATATCCAAACTTTTTCTATTAGAAAAGAAATCAATTTCCTGTCTCCAGATATGCATGCTTAGTGTAATACTGTGCACCCATTATTGTCTTTGACATCAATCAATTGTGGATAATTAGTGACAAGGAACTCACATGCATCATATTTACGATTACCACATGCAATATGAAAAGCATTTCTCTCATCATTTGTCAGTGCATTTATATCCAAACCTTTCCATATCAGAAAAGAAATCAATTTTCTGTTTCCATTTGCACATGCACAGTGTAATACTGTGTACCTGTTATTGTCTTTGACGTCAATTAATTGTGGATAATTTGTGAATAGGAACTCACATGCATCATATTTACCATTAAGGCATGCAATATGAAGAGCATTTTTTCCATCATTTGTCAGTGCATTTATATCCAAACCTTTCTCTATCAGAAAAGAAATCAAATCCATGTCTCCATTTACACAAGCCCAGTGTAATACTGCGTACCCCTTATTGTCTCATGATCCCACCTCTGATGTTTCGGAGGTCCGTGTTTGCTCTGCTCTTATTTTGTATATTTGTTTAATGGACCTTGAGATTGAATACTGTTCGTTATTTCAATATCCTTCATGCAATATGAAGAGCATTTTCCCCATCATTTGTCAGTGCATTTATATCCAAACATTTTTCTATCAGAAAAGAAATCAATTTTCTGTCTCCATTTACACATGCAGAGTGTAATACTGTGTACCCGTTATTGTCTCTGACGTCAATTAATTGTGGATAATTAGTGACAAGGAACTCACATGCATCATATTTACCATTAAGACATGCAATATGAAGGACATTTCTCCCATCATTTGTCAGTGCATTTATATCCAAACCTTTTTCTATCAGAAAAGAAATCAATTTTCTGTCTCCATTTACACATGCACAGTGTAATACTGTGCCTCCCTCCTTGTCTCTGACGTCAATTAATTGTGGATAATTAGTGACAAGGAACTCACATGCATCATATTTACCATGACGACATGCAATATGAAGAGCATTTTTTCCATCATTTGTCAGTGCATTTATATCCAAACCTTTCTCTATCAGAAAAGAAATCAAATCCATGTCTCCATTTACACAAGCCCAGTGTAATACTGTGTACCCCTTACTGTCTCTGATGTTAATTAATTGTGGATATTTAGTGACAAGGAACTCACAGGCATCATATTTACCATTAAGACATGCAATATGAAGAGCATTTTCCCCATTATTTGTCAATGCATTTATATCCAAACCTTTTTCTATCAGAAAAGAAATCAATTTCCTGTCTCCATTTACACATGCAGAGTGTAATACTGTCCAACCGTAATTGTCTCTGAGGTCAATTAATTGTGGAAAATTAGTGACAATGAACTCACATGCATCATATTTACCATTAAGGCATGCAATATGAAGAGCATTTTCCCCATCATTTGTCAATGCATTTATATCCAAACCTTTCTCTATCAGAAAAGAAATCAATTTCCTGTCTCCATTTACACATGCAAAGTGTAATACTGTGCCTCCCTTCTTGTCTCTGACGTCAATTAATTGTGGATAATTAGTGACAAGGAACTCACAGGCATCATATTTACCATTAAGACATGCAATATGAAGAGCATTTGCCCCATCATTTGTCAGTGCATTTATATCCAAACCTTTCTCTATCAGAAAAGAAATCAATTTCCTGTCTCCATTTACACATGCCATGTGTAATACTGTGCCTCCTTTATTGTTTCTGACGTCAGTTAGGTGTGGATATGTAGTGACAAGGAACTCACATGCATCATATTTACCTTTAAAGCATGCAATATGAAGAGCATTCGCCCCATCATTTGTCTGTGCATTTATATCCAAACCTTTCTCTATCAGAAAAGAAATCAATTTCCTGTCTCCATTTACACACGCACAGTGTAATACTGTGTACCCCTTATTGTCCCTGACGTCAATTAATTGTGGATAATTAGTGACAAGGAACTCACAGGCATCATATTTACCATTAAGACATGCAATATGAAGAGCATTTTCCCCATCATTTGTCAATGCATTTATATCCAAACCTTTCTCTATCAGAAAAGAAATCAATTTCCTGTCTCCATTTACACACGCACAGTGTAATACTGTGCACCCCTCCTTGTCTCTGACGTCAATTAATTGTGGATAATTAGTGACAAGGAACTCACAGGCATCATATTTACCATTAAAAAATGCAATATGAAGAGCATTTTCCCCATCATTTGTCTGTGCATTTATATCCAAACCTTTCTCTATCAGAAAAGAAATCAATTTCCTGTCTCCATTTCCACATGCCCAGTGTAATACTGTGCCCCCTTTATTGTCTCTGACGCCAATGAATTGTGTATAATTAGTGACAAGTAACTCACATGCATCATATTTACCTTTAAAACAAGCAATATGAAGAGCATTTTCCCCATCATTTATCTGTGCATTTATTTCAAAACCCTTTTCTATCAGAAAAGAAATCAATTTCCTGTCTCCATTTACACATGCCCAGTGTAATACTGTGACCCCCTTATTGTCTCTGACGTCAATGAATTGTGTATAATAAGTGATAAGTAACTCACATGCATCATATTTGCCATTTCGACATGCAATATGAAGAGCATTTTCCCCATCATTTGTCAGTGCATTTATATCCAAACCTTTCTCTATCAGAAAAGAAATCAATTTCCTGTCTCCATTTACACATGCCCAGAGTAATACTGTGTACCCCTTATTGTCTCTGACGTCAATTAGTTGTGGATAATTAGTGACAAATAACTCACATGCATCATATTTACCATTTCGACATGCAATATGAAGAGCATTTTCCCCATCATTTGTCAGTGCATTTATATCCAAACCTTTCTCTATCAGAAAAGAAATCAATTTCCTCTCTCCATTTCCACATGCCCAGTGTAATACTGTGCCCCCTTTATTGTCTCTGACGTCAATTAGTTGTGGATATTTAGTGACAAGGAACTCACAGGCATCATATTTACCTTTAAAACAAGCAATATGAAGAGCATTCGCCCCATCATTTGTCTGTGCATTTATATCCAAACCTTTCTCTATCAGAAAAGAAATCAATTTCCTGTCTCCATTTACACATGCCCAGTGTAATACTGTGTACCCCTTATTGTCTCTGACGTCAATTAGTTGTGGATAATTAGTGACAAGTAACTCGTTTGCATCATATTTGCCATTTCGACATGCAATATGAAGAGCATTTTCCCCATCATTTGTCCGTGCATTTATATCCAAACCTTTCTCTATCAGAAAAGAAATCAATTTCCTGTCTCCATTTACACATGCCAAGTGTAATACTGTGTACCCCTTATTGTCTCTGACGTCAATTAGTTGTGGATAATTAGTGACAAATAACTCACAGGCATCATATTTACCATTACAACATGCAAGATGAAGAGCATTTTCCCCATCATTTGTCAGTGCATTTATATCCAAACCTTTCTCTATCAGAAAAGAAATCAATTTCCTGTCTCCATTTACACATGCCCAGTGTAATACTGTGTACCCCTTATTGTCTCTGACGTCAATTAGTTGTGGATAATTAGTGACAAGTAACTCGCTTGCATCATATTTGCCATTTCGACATGCAATATGAAGAGCATTTTCCCCATCATTTGTCAGTGCATTTATATCCAAACCTTTCTCTATCAGAAAAGAAATCAATTTCCTGTCTCCATTTACACATGCCAAGTGTAATACTGTGTACCCCTTATTGTCTCTGACGTCAATTAGTTGTGGATAATTAGTGACAAATAACTCACTTGCATCATATTTACCATTACAACATACAAGATGAAGAGCATTTACCCCATCATTTGTCAGTGCATTTATATCCAAACCTTTCTCTATCAGAAAGGAGATCAATCTCCTGTTTCCATTTACACATGCAAGGTGTAATACTGTGTCCCCTTTATTGTCTCTGACGTCAATTAGATGTGGATATTTAGTGACAAGGAACTCACAGGCATCATATTTACCTTTAAAGCATGCAATATGAAGAGCATTCGCCCCATCATTTGTCTGTGCATTTATATCCAAACCTTTCTCTATCAGAAAAGAAATCAATTTGCTGTCTCCATTTACACATGCCCAGTGTAATACTGTGTACCCCTTATTGTCTCTGACGTCAATTAGTTGTGGATAATTAGTGACAAGTAACTCACTTGCATCATATTTGCCATTTCGACATGCAAGATGAAGAGCATTTACCCCATCATTTGTCAGTGCATTTATATCCAAACCTTTCTCTATCAGAAAGGAGATCAATCTCCTGTTTCCATTTACACATGCCAAGAGTAATACTGTGTACCCCTCATTGTCTCTGACGTCAATTAATTGTGGATAATTAGTGACAAGGAACTCACATGCATCATATTTACCATGACGACATGCAATATGAAGGGCATTTACCCCATCATTTGTCAGTGCATTTATATCCAAACCTTTCTCTATCAGAAAGGAAATCAATTCTCTGTTTCCACTTATACAGGCAGAGTGTAATATTGTGTTCCCGTCATTGGCTTTGGCTTCTATTAAATCTGGGTTTTTAGCTACCAGGTAGCTGGTTAGATTTAAATCTCCTGATTGCGAAGCATAATGTAATACATTTTCGCCAAATGAAGATTTGATATCTATTAATATAGGATATTTGTCAAGTAAAGGCTGTACTAAATGATTCTGCTTCGATAAACAGACCTCCTGGATTAAACTATGACTAGTGTCCGTCCATACAAGAGATAAACAGGTTTGATTCAAATCTACAGACTTACACAGTTTCAATAATAAATCTAAATTTCCACTTTGTACTGCGTTAAAACAAGTGTTTAAATCACATTTAGTGTCACCTGATAAAATGAGATCGACAATTTTTACATGATTTTCTCTGCTTGCAGCATTAAGGGATTTATACTTCTGTTTTTTATCACAATTACTTTGTAACAAATATTTTACCCAACTGATGTGCCCTGATTTTCCAAAATGTACTAGTAATGCGTTTCCATTGGAATCGACACATTCTTTAAAGTGATTGCTACAGTCTTGATCTGCCAATATGTATTCATAAAATTCTTTATCATTCCATAATTCCAACAAAGAAATGGATTCATATCCATTTGGAACGCCATCAATCAAAATTTGAATAATTCTTCTAGAAACAGTAGAAAACAATTCTGCATCAATCAGTACGTTTGTGCCCTTCAGATGATCACTTGTTGTCAATCTTTGAAGCAAGACAGGATGACAATATTGAATTGTTTCCTCAGGAAGAGTGGCAATCAGAATATGGAATAAAATATCTGGTACTGAGCTATGGGAGAAGAAATATGAATCGTTAATTTTATTGTAGACTGTTAAAAATCCTTCAAAGACCTTAACACTTTCATGGAATTCACCAAGAAAAAGGGGACTTAATTCAAGCATTTTTAATGCAATGGATTTCATTTTCCGATCATTATGAACAAAGAACAGTGAGGAGCTCACACTTCCACCTTTCAAGCAAATGTATATCAGCACTGACAATTTAACAGCTCTTTCTTTTATCAGGGTTTCCAAATACCTTTTTAGGAAAATTGAAGGACAACAGAAAAAATTTGAAAGATCATTTCCGAAAGCACAATTCTCGCGCGCAAGTCTACAACATTGTGGAAATCCCAAGGGTAAATATAAATCGGCTTGTCTTAATTTTATGTCCTCCTTTATATTTCTTGGAAGGTTATAATTGTTGAGAAACATGATGAACTCTTCAGATTCTAAAGCATATTCACCAGTTGATAAATCAGTCACTGATGAAAAAAAGAGATTTGATCTCTTCTGTTTAGAGGCAATTTCCATATGAATATCGTTTCTGATTGTCAGTATAAGGATATTTTCCATTTCACTGTTGTAAGGTTTCACAAGAGTTTCTATGACGTTTTTTTTATTTATGAAACTGTTGAAGTCATTTATAGAAAACGATGACTCCCCGAAGGCATTATCAATAAATATCGCCAGGTTGTCACACCGTGAGACCCGTCCGTAAAGTTTTGACATCTGAAAGACTTGAAGAGGACGTTTCCCTCCATCCATGGATATCTTCAACAAGTACTTGGCTAATGTCGTCTTTCCGGATCCAGGTACGCCTTTAATCACCACGTGTCCGTTTTTCTCTAACAGTTCTTTTGCTCTTTCAAATGCTCGGGTTTTAACAAGGACTTTCTCCGCTTCATTATGATGATCGTGGACCATAGCCATTGTTGTTTCTATCATGTATTTAAATAACCCTGATTCTGATATTTTTGCTTTAAAATTTTTACATAAACTTACTAGTGTTTGGTTAATTTTTGCATTTTCAGAAAATTTTTTAGTACTTATACAAACAAGAGGCATACGGGCCTTATAGGTCACCTGAGTATCATGTAACAACTTTCAAAAAATGGAATAGGGTTTGTGTTTTAAAACCAGAGGCCATGAAATTCACAATTTTGAAAGACGCACTGTTGCGTATCTTAATAATACACTTAGCATGCTTACTCTAGTTACTTTATACCCAGAGGTAGATAAGAGTAACAAAGAGAAAATGCATTTCCAATTTGTAATCAGTTGTGCACCCCACAAGAGCCCCCCCTAAGCATGGATTTTCAGTATTTACGGTTTTTAGGACAAGGCACATGAAACTTGTATTCACTGATACTCGGGGATACGTGTAGACCTAGCGAATTGCTCACCAAACACGCTACAAAACTTTAAACAAATGTATACATATCATGTATTTTCTATCAATTGTTCGTAACAGTATATTATAAATTTTACTGTTGTCTCGGAAATGGTGCATATGTAGATCCGTGTCCAATCTGTGACTCAAATGCATAAAAAAGCAGTAAACTTCCAAGCATGTTTTCATAGTATTTTTGTGGTACTCACTCGTAACGAATTTCATTTAGCTGATTGGTCAGTTAGAAAGAATCGCCTGTGCCTCGATTAGCATTTGAATTCATTCTTACGTCAGAAAATCTAGTTCCGTCGATCTGTTTATAATGGGAAAGGCCAACCAGATTTTACTATATTTTAAAAAATAGCATGTGAGCGCAGTTAGGTACAATTTTCTCCTTTCACATATAGGTAGATTTCAATATAATACAGTGACCAGACAAAGGAGAAAATTGTACCTACCTGCGCTCGTATATTTTAAGGGCTTCAAAGAGTGGGGCGGGGTTAAAATGCAATGGGAATTGAATGTAAACATGATTCCCCTACCCCAATAAAAGATCTTTATCTTTCAAATCACGTCTCTATTTTTGTTAAAAATAGTATTCTATCAAGGTTCACATATCAGTGATTAGTTACATACAAAAATGTGAGTAAATTTAAGACATTTAATTTTTTGTCAATATACGAGGGGCTGCAAGTCACCTCATCCTTTACAATTTTGGAAGAAACACTCTTGCTCATCATAACTTTATATTTAGTTAGTTTGTTTGATACCCAGGAGCAAAGAATTGTTAAGGGATTTTTTATAGAATTTATGTATTTTCATTATATAATCAACCCTCTCACCTGTTTCACCTAAACCCCTGACATAGGGGCCATCCAATTCATAAATATTGTTGAGCCACTCTTGTTTATAACAGCTTCTAAGTAGAATAATTCATTTAATACCAAGAGCAGAGGAGAATGATTTTTGAAGGAATTAATGCATTGCCACTATATGATCAATAGAACCCCCCCCCCCTAACACCAGAACCCCTGACCCTGGGACCATAAAATTCACAATTTTGGTAGAGGCACTCTTGCTCATCATAACTATACTCTTCGTTAGTTTGTTGAATACCGAAGAGAAAAGAAGATTTTAAAAGAATTTATGTATTTTCTATATAATCAACAGAGCCATGCCTTAACACCAGAACCCCTGACCCAAAGGCTATGAAATTCACAATTTCTCAAGAGGTACTCTTGGTCATCATAACTATGTACTTGGTTAGTTAATTTAATACCCAGGGGCAGAGAAGAAAATGTCCAAAGAAATAATGATTTTTTAATATATAATCAATAGAGTCCCACCCTTACACCAGAAACCCTGACCAAGGGGCCATGAAATTCACAATTTTCAAAAAGGCACACTTGGTCATCATAACTATGTACTTGATTAGTTGGTTTAATACCTAGGGGCAGAGAAGAAAATTTTCAAAGAAATAATGAACTTTTACTACATGTATATGATATATATTATCCCTCCCTAAAACCAGAACCCCTGACCGAGGGGCCATGAAATTCACAATTTTGTTAGAGGACTTAATGCTGATTACAATCATGACAACAGTTTGACTGCTTGATGTTCAGGAGTAAAGAAGATTTTTAAAGATTGCATTAATTTTAGTGGTTTTGGCCCCACCCCTCAGGCCCCAGGGGGGTGGAGACCTTGAAATTCACAATTTTTGTTCCCTTTCATTTGTAGATGTTGTATACCAAATTTAGTTGAAATTGGCTCAGTGCTTCCAGAGAAGAAGCTAAAAATGTTTAAAAGTTTACGTACGACGGACGAAAACAGATAGCAATAGGTCACCTGAGTTTACTCAGGTGACTTAAATATATAGTTGTTTAAAATGTTTGCTGCAATACTTAATTTTTTTACTGTCATTTAGCAAAGCCCCAAGGATGAACAATTAATCCTATAATGACAATCTCATGTGAATAAACGCTTCATTAGCTACAGCTGTATCAAGATGAACTTTTATTTATAATATTGTCTTTCCTGATATAAAAATATACAACATGACTATAGATAGTCATGTTGTATATTTTATTTGATAAAATAAAGTATATCAGGAAAGACAATATTTTCATAATACTTTTGACAACAAGAAAACATATTTAAACAGGGAAGCCAGACCCTTTCAAATCTCAATGTCTAGTTCAAATTAGATAAGTGTTGAAGATATAAAATTAAAAGTGACATTTTTCATTAATCAATTAATTCTTAATCTTGTGAGATTATTTATTTACATTATGTTTATTATAACTCCAGGGTTAGCCAAAAGCAACCCTATCCACTTTCTATCATAAAAGTTGTTTTTTTTTATTTGGCCTGCTAAAATACATAGTTAAATATGTTTTGATGATGCAATTAGAAGTGTTGATGATTTTCAAATTTTTTGAAACATCAGGACATAAACATACCTATTGCTTTTTCAAGTTTTGGATCTGAAAATAATCAAGGCAATATTAAACATATTCATCACAGAAAAATATGCATTGAGATGTTCTGAGATAAAATAATCAACACGTTCATCACTTACCGATGCGCAAACTTAGTTTCTTTTTCATGTCACTCAACTTCTCTGAAAAAAATATTTTATATTAATACACTCAAAACAGCAAAACATAAAAATAAAATTGAAGGTTGAATTGTAAAAGTATAAGTAGTATTTTTTAGCGAGGATTTAATTTTGGCATTTTTGGCAAGGGTGCCGAGATCACAAAAATTGGATATCACTAAAAAATAATTGTGTTTTATTTGTAATAACTTCTTGAATATGCATTTAAAAATCGCTAGAATTACATCTCGCTTAAAAAATATTGTCATTTTAAGGACAAATAGCTAAATTTGTGTCTAGCTTAATCTACCAATTATACTGTATACTGTATAATTTCAACTCTGAATAGATTATGTAAGGAATTTTATAAAAAAAATTTCTCATTATCTTTCGTTCACATTGGACAAATTAACAGTAGATTTACCATTTCACAATTTTACACGGCAAAATAAAATTTAATCTTTGAAATCATCATATTGCTTTAAGTTAAGTTAAGGAGAGGGTTTACATAGGCATTGTCTGTTGCCCAATCCTGATTGAATTATACTCAATAAAAATATGTTTAAAGTAAGTTTGATTTGGCTAATAAAGAAAAAGCAAAAACTAACTAATTTGCAAGGTCAGTATTTATAGCCTTTAACTCACAATACTTGCATCAAGATTTATTTTCAATATAGGTTAATTGAATTGATTTATGTGTCTATCTTTAATTATATTTACAGAACTGTCACTGCATTCTGTTCTATATTCTCAGTGTATAAAATGATGAGTGTATAAAAAAAATTAAAATTACCAGTCAATCAGTACAATGAGCCTCTATCAGAAATTATATGTACCTGAAAATTTAGAAACAGATGAATGTAGTCCATCAACAGCTCCAAGTCGGTTAATGTATCTATGTTCAAGTTCTGGGTCCATGGAACATGTTTTTACTTTTTTCACAGACTCTTGGTAGACAGTAGACGTCCCTAGATGTCGCTCTAACTCAACAATGATATCCCAGATGATTCGCCATTCCTGCCTGAATTCTGAGTCAGAGAGCGATATATCGGCAGAATGGCCGTAGAATTTGTTCCTAAGAAGACGAATTCGTTCGATGTTTGCGGCGACACTTCTATCGGCGTGGTCTGGAGTCTCGCCCCAACCCTTAGAATGTGGAGGTATTTTACTGACATTTCTTAGAATTGTATACAGTAAAGATATATCCAGGTCTGAATAGTTTCCTCCATACTGATTCGTCGGTGAGGGAAAAATGGTGTCATTTTGTGATGGAATAAGCGGGTTCCGTTTTTTGTTTTTCTTGAGATCATCAGTCCATTGTTTGACTTTCTTGGATAAATCAGACGGGGGAATTTCCGTTTTAAGAATATCACGTAACACATCAGTACAGGGTCCCAGTATGAGCCTTGCCAGCCGAGCCATGTTAGTGGTCTCTGGTGTTGATGTGTACTTGGATAACGACATCTTAGATTTTTTTTAAAAAGCTCTTTGAAATGCTGTGTTGCCAGTCACTTCATATCATGGTTAAGATTTTTCCCATATTACCTAATGCAAAAATATCTGAAATAAGAATTGAATGACTTAATTTAAATAAAAAAGTACAGAAGGGAACTAATTTTAATTAATTGCTGCTTATCTCATAAACCTCTATTGAACAGGGAAGTCCGAGTTGTTTGAAGTTAATCAAATAAGACAATTTCAAAGAATATTTTATTATTTCCAACATTTTTTTTTTTGTAAAAAGTACACTCAAAATAGATTTTAATCCATCAGATGTTTGTATTTGACTTATTTATATTCGTTTTTATATTTTAAGTACTCTATATAGAAATGTTCATAAGTCAATCCTTATGTTGTGAATGTGTTAACATTAACAATGTTTAATTTACTATTCATTTTTATTTTATTATGATTTTCTGACATTGTTATTGTATGTCATAAGTGTAATTGTTTATGTGTCCATTTTTGTCAGGTCAGAGTTTATAGTGTATTTTTTAGTCCGTTTCCGTTTTTGTCCGTTTGTTTATCTTTTGTGTTGTGGAGAAAATAGGAAATAAGCTGAGAAGAAGATAGAAAGGTAGATCGTTGAATGTTTATGTGCTTGTTTATCATATTTATTAAATTAATGTGAAACCAGAAAACAGTGTTATATTCAGGATCAGTAGTCAGTCGCCACACCTTATACATGTAGTTAGACTTGCATTAGGAAGTCATTTTTTGTAAATTCTATGGACAATAAAAATGAAATTGTTTATGGAAATACAATCTATCATCAATGTGCATGTTTACTGACTTTTTCCAAACAAATTGTTAGGCTATTTATCGTACTAAATTGTCTGCAGATTTTCTTTTTATTCTGTCACGACAAAGAACACACAGTGGATAGAGGAGTTGCCTACTCCGTGATCCCACCTCCAATGCTTTAAGTGGTCCATTTTTGATCTGCCCCAATAGACTTTGTATTTGATATTTTTCGCTATCCTCCTTTCTATTTTAAGTCAAAGTGTCAACGTTTTCACCATGGTAAATCAAAGTCTTAATGGAGATATCAAATTTCAATTTCAATTTTATTACTACAGTGTATAATGTTCTGTGAATGAAAGTCTCGCTTAAATTTTCTTAATGCCAAGAACAGGTTAACATTTTGCAGTCATTGATTGGCAAATGACAGATAACTATTGTTGATTAATAATAAATCGTCATTTTATCTAAATGTCAAGTTTACGGCGATATGAAGTGTTTTCTTGTCATTTATAAGTTTTTAAGAACAGAAAATATATAGGGTGCAAACGAAAACATAAAAATAACAAATTGTCACATGTTTAAATTTTAAAAAATGAAAAAGTTAAACTGTGTAGTTTTTAAATTTTCATTTGCAATATCACATTCATGTACAATAAAGTTATTGAAAATGTAAAGGTGTATAGGATGATTGAAGAAAGGCATAATTTTGAATATTGTGGAATGTTCATGACTTCCTTTTTTTAGCTCACCTGAGCCGAAGGCTCAAGTGAGCTTTTCTGATCACATTTGTCCGTCGTCCGTCTGTCTGTCTCTCCGTCCGTTCGTCTGTAAACTTTTCACATTTTCGACTTCTTCTCAAGAACCACTGGGCCAATTTTGACCAAACTTGGTACAAAGATTTTGTGGGTAAAGGGAAATTTAAATTGTTAAAATGAAGGGACATATCCCCTCGCAAGGGGAGATAATCAAGAAAAGACAAAAATAGGGTTGGGTCATTAAAAAATTTTCTTCTCAAGAACCACTGAGCCAGTTAAGCTGAAACTTATGTGGAAGCATCCTGGGGTAGTGTAGATTCTAAATTGTTCTAATCATGACCCTCAGGTGTAGGGCGGGGCCACAATGGGGAATCAATGTTTTACATATATACAGGAAAAAACTTTGAAAATCTTCTTCTCAAGAACCACTGGGCCAGAAAAGCTGAAACTTATGTGGAAGCATCCTGGGGTACTGTAGATTCTAAATTGTTCAAATCATGACCCCCGGGGGTAGGACGGGGCCACATTGGGGAATCAATGTTTTACATAGAAATATATAGGAAAAATCTTTGAAAATCTTCTTCTCAAGAATCACTGGGCCAAAAAAGCTGAAACTTATGTGGAAGCATTCTGTGGTAGTGTAGATTATAAATTGTTCAAATCATGACCCCCAGTGGTAGGGCGGGGCTACATGGGGAATCATTCTTTTACATAGAAATATATAGGAAAAATCTGTGAAAATCTTCTTCTCAAGAATCACTGGGCAAGAAAAAGCTGAAACTTATGTGGAAGCATCCTGGGGTAATGTAGATTCTAAATTGTTCAAATCATGACCCCCGGGGGTAGGACGGGGCCACAATGGGGAATCAATGTTTTACATAGAAATATATAGGAAAAATCTTTGAAAATCTTCTTCTCAAGAATCACTGGGCCAGAAAAGCTGAAACTTATGTGGAAGCATCCTGGGGTAGTGTAGATTCTAAATTGTTCAAATCATGACCCCCGGGGGTAGGACGGGGCCACAATGGGGAATCAATGTTTTACATAGAAATATATAGGAAAAATCTTTAAAAATCTTCTTCTCAAGAATCACTGGGCCAGAAAAAGCTGAAACTTATGTGGAAGCATCCTGGGGAAGTGTAGATTCTAAATTGTTCAAATCATGACCCCCGGGGGTAGGACGGGGCCACAATGGGGAATCAATGTTTTACATAGAAATATGTAGGAAAAATCTTTGAAAATCTTCGACTCAAGAATCACTGGGCCAGAAAAGCTGAAACTTATGTGGAAGCATCCTGGAGTAGTGTTGATTCTAAATCATTCAAATCATGACCCCATGAGTACATGAATATGTCTGCTAAAAACGACACAGTTGGTATCTATGTAGATTTTGTCCTCTATTTATTTTGATGTGTTTGCTCATTCGTCGTGCTTTTTTTTTTAATTAACGCCACATTTATTAGATTTTTAATTGTTTAACTTACCCATGAAGTTCCTCTTCCTTTTGTAAACCACACAAATTTAATCTCCTGAACACTGATAGATTACAAAAGTCAGTAAAACTATTAACTGGAACTCAGTTATCGTGTCTGCTTGTCTATAACTCCTGTATATATCTCCTTTATAACATTCCAAGTCTTTCTCACGTTTCTAAACACCAGGCTTTTGTGTGTAAAATGATGTATCTACGCTTTTTAAATACTCAAAAACTCAAAATATGTTAAAAGCAGTCATCCATATATCCTTTAACTTGATTAACAGCATAGGTGCATCAAATCGACACGTAACATTATGCAAGCAGCAACATTTTAATATTATAAAGTATATAATTACGATTACGTATACATCAAAGTTATTATCACTTTCAAATACATTCAATTGCCATTTAAGTGAATTTGAAGTGTTTGTTTATCATTTTTTTATATTTAGTTCGAAACAAAACGGCATGAAGTGACGTCCATCTGTTGCTTATAATAATATATACAAGGAGTAATCAAAAAAGTCGTATACAGGCCCATAAAATAAAAACAGTTTTAGCTACATCAAGGATTTTTTTTACACATTTATTAAGCATAAACTTTTATGTGTTCATAACGGCGTCGAAAAAGTAAGTTGTTTATGAATGTAACCATTGGAATACAAGAAAGTTATATTTTGGTATGTTTCTTTTGTATATACTGGTAGATCCATTCACAGCAACATGCATTGAAATCAATTTTTTAATGAAATTATGAAATGTACTAAACATAGGAAATTTAATCAAGACAAGTGCATTGAGAGAGACAGTGATACATTGAGAAACAATGACATTGATGGGCGTTATGGATATCAATGGCAACAGTTGTGGTCAACAATGATCATATAATGTCTTTGTTAATTAAGAAATAAAATGTCATTTTTAAAGTGTCATTGGGACATGACATGAAGTTGGTCACGTGATCAAATCCTATATTTATACTTTTGTTTTCTTTACACATTACAAAGATAAAATGCCGTATTTAGACTTTGTTTTTGAATGCAATATAACGTATAAATACAACGTCATATGACGTCACATTCAAGACTTTCCAAATATCTCGTGCAGTTTGCTTTCCATACGCAAGAAAGTTAGATCATGTGACTCACTTCATGTCATCGAAAATTGAATGTCATTTTTTTGTATTGTCATATAAGGAAAGACATTGCCAAATGTAAATATTGATGTAATGATAATTTGTCAAATTATTAACGTAGCAAGCTTAAATTTCTTAACGTATTAAGCATAGATTTGCGACACTTCTTAAAAGTGTGATGTTTTATGTTCCTTACAAAGCACTGACCACATAGTATAAATTTAATGGCATGAATCCAAGAACATTTTGATAATCCCTCGTAAATTTGTAACAAGAAGTAATTATTTGCTAAATTCTGATGTTTTTGGAAGGATATGGAAATAACGAACAGTATTCAATCTCAACGTCCATTAAACAAATATACAAAATAAGAGCGGAGCAAACACGGACCTCCGAAACATCAGAGGTGGGATCAGGTGCCATGGAGGAGTGAGCATCCCCTGCCGATCGGTCACACCCGCCGTGTGCTCGTTGTCATAATCAGGAAATAACGGAAAAAATCCGTCGTCAATTCAGTGTATAAATAATGGACTAACAATTAGTATGAAAAGCGTCCGTCAGCATTTCATTCAATGATAAATTGTATGTGTTGACAAGGTCATTGTATCGACCATAGAATTTACGAAATGATGACTTCAAACGAGACTGCTGATATTCTTGTTTCATCAACTTGCTTGTCAATAATTTACCTCGTTTAAGAAATTGTTCATACGTAGAGCATGCTCTTGCGTATCGAATCAACTGAGATATAAATACTCCGTATGCAGGTGATGAAGGTATATTGCTGCATAAGCAAGGGAAGTTGACGATAGAAAAGTTAAAGTCATCACGTTTATCATATAGCTTGGTTGTTAGATTACCATTAGTGTCTTTTTCAAGTAAAATATCCAAGTATGAAGCAGAAGTGTC